CAGAGTTGCTCTGCCCCAGGCTTCCTGGAATCAGCGCTCATCAGTTTCAGCAGCAGCTGACTTGGGGAAGCTTGGGGTTCTTAAGTTGAATCTGTATGTAAGTCAGAACTGGCGGTCAGTTTCAGCAGCGGCTGAATATGGACGCCAGTTCCGACTTACATACAGATTCAACTTAAGAACAAACCTACAGTCCCTATCTTGTATGTAACCCGGGGACTGCCTGTACCTCAGCATGGTGTTATGATTAGGAATGTTTTGATGATAAGAGATAAAGAATTTTGCTGAAATTAGAAAAAGTAGTGACCCAGTAGAAGTTACTATGGTGATCCTTAGAAGTTACTATAGAAAATGTGCTTTGTTTGAGGTTAGTTATAAAAGATTAGGTGAACGCACTCTGCTTGTATCAATTATTTGTCACACAGATGAGCTGTGCCTCCATTGATTATTTCTGACACTGTCTGAAGAGAAACAGTCAAATTGCCACTACTTTATGTTCTGAAAATCCTGGGTGAAAAATCTGGCAAGCCATTTTCTCAGAGCGATAAAAAGGAAAAGAGTGATTGATACAAACAGTTTGCTGTCCTGGGCAAGAAGAGAGGATGAAGGGCAGGGTAGCAACTTGGAATTTCTCTGTTCTGTGGTCCATGAGCCAATTTATTATTATATTTCATTACTGGGTCAGTGCCTCAAGATGGCAGCCTGGTCAAGGGATTATGTCGAAAGGAAAGGGAATATCTAGAAAAAGAGAACAACTGGAAATGATTTTGGGAAACAGCTTGACTAATTTTGTACAACAGCATAGTAATTGTCTTTGGAAGCCTGGGAGCTTTAGAAGTCCAGAGAATTCCTGCAGCTCATTAGGCAGATGGTAATGATGGTAAAGAGATAAATCAGTTAAAGACAAAAGTGGAGAAATTAGAGAAAGATAAAACTGAGTAAGACAAAAATAACCAGCCTGACTCTCCAGACTGAGACAGTGGCAATGCAAAAGCAAGTGTGTGATAGTGAGAGAGAGAGAGAGAGAGAGAGAGAGTGAATGAAAAGCTAGAACAGGAAGTCTGCAGATTGAAACAGAAGAAAAGATAGATGAATTGTCCACCTTGTAATTTTTGTTAAGACTTGCTGAGCACAAAGGGAAGACCCCAAGGGTGCCTCCTGTTACCGTGCTTTGGAAGACTGGACTAGATTGCCTGATTTGGACACTGTTGGATGTGCAAGCTTCAAAGAGTATGTGCAGTTTGAAGGAGGGGCATTCAGACAGAATTTGTTGTTAGATACAGCTGCCACTTATTTCAGAATTACACCCTGTTTGAGTATCCAGCTGGAGTTAAAATCTTACAAGGATTTAATGTGGTATAGAGTATTGTTCCCTTTTGCAGGCACATACTGTATTGGGTAGAAAAGAAGGGAAATAAAAGGGCAATTTGGCTTAACGGATTTGGAAAGAGAAGGGATTCTGGGATTGACGTTTTGAGAGAATTAAGACTGCTAGTTCATTTTGCTAACAGGGTCCTATGGGAAATGCCTCCTGGCTCATCCTGGGAACCAGTGGAGAGATCAGCAAGCTGCAGGCTAGCAGCCCTCTACCCATTTTCTGGCAATTGCAGAAAAATACTGGGAGGCATGGGTCAAGAATAAAATAAAATGTGATAGGTAAAATAGAATCTGAAGAATTGGAATGGCCCATGTAGTCCCCCAGAAGTCCTGGCAATTGCAGAAAAATACTGGAAGCTGGCAGTTGCCACAGGTGGAGGATTGCTCCCAAGAAACAGTTAAAGGTGTTGCTTACCAGGTACCTGGTTACCAGTTCACATCCCAACCTTGGAAGCCTGAAGAAATTTTTAACAGGGACAAAGGATGATTAGCTAATAAAGTTAAATAGTGCCTTAATAAAATGGTTATTAATATGCAGCCCAATATGACAGGAAAATGGCTCCTTCAAGGACCCCATGGAATAAAAGGAAAAGAAATGTGGACTCTGGAACCACCTGTAATTAATTTGATCAGAGCATATGCAGTTCAAAACAATGAAAAAAACTAATTGGTGATTGATCCAACCCACACCCTGAAAAAGATTACTGTGGGCCTCATTTTAGCAAATATCTTGGCAATAGAACCCATTTTGAAAGTTTTTCAAACCATTCTATGAGCACTGAAAAATTGCATTAATCTTCACGATGTCCCCAGACCATGCAAGAACTGAATAAAAAGGTACATTCTGGGAACATTTTGGCACAAGGTTAGATGTTCTTAATTCTATAAAGGTGGAAATGATTGTGAATAAAAGAAATTCAGTGGAGCACCGTCTAAAGGGTTTAGCAACATCCCTGAGGGCATCTTTAGATCGCTAATGCTCAATACAGGATGGGGTGGCATATATATCAGATGAATGGGAGCAATCGCAAGAAAAAGGCGATCTCCACCCCTTGCACCCTTCTGGTGCCCTCCTTAGCCCTGGAATGCATACAAATACTGATGTGAAAAAATGACACTCTATTGGATATGATTTGAGATGATAAGTGAAAATAAGAGCATTATTTTGAAAAATTCCATCTACTGAGAGGGATTTACTATGGTGGAAAATGGTGAATTTTACCTACGATAAAAGATCTGGCGAGATTAATGTATTTGTATTATTGAATTCAGAAGCAGAAATAAGGTGGGCTTCTCCCTTTGTAGTGCTGGGCCTTAATCCTAATCCTATAGTGATGGAGCCCATGGGTCATAGGTTATAGGTAACAA